CCAGGACTGGGGAAGCAGAAACAGGAGGAAGCTTGGGGATTGCTAGTCAGTCAGTCTAGGTGAATGCACGAGCTCCAGACTCTGTCTCAAAAAGGGAGATGGAGGGGCCATAAGATGATTCAGTGGGGTGTTGGGGGTGAAGAGATAGTTCAGGGGTTAAGAGCACTGGCTGTTCTTGTAGAGGACCCAGATTTGGTTCTCAGCACGGACATAGATGCTAACAACTGTCACTAACTCCAGTGCCCTCTTTCGGTCTCTATGTGTATTGCATGAATTGGTGCACTTAACCTATATGCAGGCAGAACACTCATGCACATAAAATTAAATAGAATCTTTTTTTAAAAAAAAGGTGGTTCAGTGGGTAAAGGCACTTGCCAAGCAAGCCTGACAACCTGAATTCTACCCCAGAACCCAAATAAAGGGAGAAATAGAGAACCAGCTTCCAGAAAGCTGTCCTCTGACCTCCACACCTGTATATGTACCACATACACATATGATACACATATAATAATAATAAGTGAATAAAATAAGTTGGAGAGTGATAGAGGAAAACACAACACTGACTTCTGATCTCTGAGTTCCATGTACTCAAACCTTTGTTTCTTTTCTTGTAATAAAATACTCTGACAAAAGCAACTTAAAGAAAAAGGGGTTGCTCACAGCTTAAGGGTACAGTTCATCGTGGAAGGGAAGTCATGGTTGCACTGCAGTCAAAATCAGGAGTAGAGGGCAATGAATGCATGTTACTGCTCAGCTCTCTACTTACGAAGACCAGGATCCCAACCAGGGAATGATGCCACCCACAGGTCGTTCCATTTCAGTCAACCCAAGGAAGATAATCCTGAACAGGCATGCCCAGAGACCTCACATGTGAGTTTAGAGTCTGTCAACTTGACAGTTAACACTATCACATATGTGAACACACAGATACACCCCCCCACACACACACAGATACACACACACCAAATTTAAAAGAAATATAAGAATTTGAAATAGCATTGGGTTTTTTTGTTTTTGTTTTTGTTTTGAGATGAGGTCTCCTTGTAGCTTTTGCTGACTTGGAACTGGCTATATAGACCAGACTGGTCTCCTTCTCTCAGAGATCCACCTGCCTGTGCTGCCCAAATGTTGGGATCAAAGGCATGTGCTACCATGTCTGACTTTGGTTGTTTTTTGAGAGCAGGGCTTACCTAATTCAAGCCGGCCTGTAAGTCACTATATAGCTGAGGATGACCTTAAATGCCTGATCTTTTTGCCCCCATTACCTGAGTGCTGAGATCACAGGCTTATGCCACCACACAAATCTTAGAATGCCATTGGTTTTTTTACTCCGAGTTGAAGTTTGGAAAAATGTTAGATCTGAAATGTGATTAGGTGTTTCTGTTTGGTCAGTTTGCTACTTGAAAAACATGAGACTTTTTAAAAATTAATTTATTTTTTAACCCCAAAACAAAAACTAGCTGTGATCAGGTTTCTTGAAGACAGTCCTACCTGAGAGCTGTCAAACAGGAAAATGAAGGGTAAGGAGTGGCCAAGCAGACTTGGTGGCTTGGTGGTTCACGCCTACAATTAGGACACTGAAGCTGAGGCAGGCAGATTACCCTGAGTTCCAGGTCGGCAGGGCTTCACAGTGAATTCCAGGCCAGACTGGGCTACAGAGTGAAATCCAGTCTCAAGAACAGAAGTGAGGAAATGGTGTGCTTAGCTCTTGTTACAATTGCAAGTACCAAAGTTGTAGTCAACAACAGTCCTTACAGTTATTCAATTTTCATTATTGTTCACTGAGTGATGACTGCAATAAGAAAGGGCCGTAGCGTGTGGACATGATCAAAACATGATACAGACATGGTTGGAAATATCAATATGAAACCCACTCATTTGTACAATTAATATGCGCTATTAATAATAAAGGGCCATAGCTATGTGAAAGAAGCTCTTATTCAAACACAATTAACAATAAGACAGTCTGTTTTAGAAAAAGTCCTAAAGGTGCTCAGAGTTCTTTGAGGATGGTAAGATTGCTGTCGGTCGTCCTGAGGCACAGTGTGGCCAGAACGCGCCGGTGGGCGGAGCCTCCTCCGCGGCGCCGGTGCTGGGCGGGCTCCTCCCCGGGGGCGTGGCCGGCGGGGCGCGGCGCTGCACGGTGCTGCACGTGTACGAGCCCGGCGGCCAGCCGAACCTGTGCGTGTGGGTCCCGGCGCTGCCTGTGTTGCCTATGCGGCTCCCCGCTCGCCGCTCCCTCCTCCAAGTGGCCTCAGCCCTCCTGCTCCGGAGCGGAGCGCCGGCCTCCTTGCCGCTTGGCCCGCGTTCGCAGGCTCCTGGTAAGTGCGCGGCCTCGCGGCGTGCGCTGGGCCGCCAGCCGTGGGCCCGGGCCTTGGTTACCGCTGGAGAGTGGTGCGGCTCGGGAGCGCGGCCGGCCGTGGTCGCAGCCGCGCGGTCTCCATGGTGGACTGTGCCCGGGGCTCCCGACCGCAGGCTCTTTGCTCCCGGATCTCTGCTCCCTGCTGTTAGGGATCCCTGCTCTGCACCCCCTCCTCACCCCCGATCCTGGCTCCCGGCCCCATGTTCCCAGATCCTAGTTCTCAGATCCCCGCTGTCTGGTCCGTGATCCCGGATCTCCACCGCCCACCCGGTCGAGAGGGGGCGCCACAAATGGAGTCAGAACAAAATGGAGTTCAGACTGGTCTGAACTGGCGATCTCTTTTCTCAGCCCTGAATAATGAGATTACAGGAGACCCGCAGCTTCTCTGTCCTGTACTGAACATGTCTTTTGATAGAGGCTGGGAAGGCACTAATGAAAGTAAGATTTTTACACCCAAGAGAAAAATACCATACCAGCTGGTCTTACTGTTACCCAGGTTCCTAGCTGGGAATTCTGTGTGTTCTGGCCACCTGGAGCTCTCCTCACCCACTTTTTTCCAGGTCTATGCCTGGAGGCAGAGGCAGGCGGATCTCTGTGAGTTCAAGGCCAGCCTGGTCTACATAGTGAGTTCCAGGACACCTGGGGCTACAGGGAGACCTTGCTTCAAAAAGACAAAAAAAAAAAAAAATTATTATTTTATGTATATGAGTATATAGCCTGCACCCATGTCGTGCAATGCCCGTGGAGGTTAGAAGAGGGAGTCAGAGCTCCTGGAACTGGAGTTACAGACAGTAGTTACCTTCCAGTGGGTGCTGGGAATCTAACCCAGGTCTTCTGCAAGAGCAGCCCATGCTGTTAACCGCTGAACTACTTCTCCAGCCCCTCCTTCAAGTCTTTAAGCCACCTCTTTACAGATCACCCCTGGCAGTCTCGCCCTTTTCTCTGGCTTGATAGCTTCCTGTCTTGCATGTTCTTATACCGAATTTTATTTATTTATTTATTTATTTATTTATTTATTTATTTATTTATTTATTTATTTGGAGGTGTGGAGGACTACTTTTATTTTTATTTTTTATTTTATTCTATTTTTGTTCACAGAGCATAGGGTAGTGGTTTATTTAGAGAAGCGTGGGTGCTCCACATTTACAGCTGTGCCATAAAGTCCACACTCATATACAGATTCTGTGACCTCCCAACAGTTGCACAAAATTGTGAGATAGGTGCCCCTTGGTGTTCTGGCTTATCTATTCTTTGCGCCCCACCCCCCACGCTGCTAAGATTTATTGACTGGGTGGGAGGGGTAACTGACTCCCCCCTGGACTCCTTGATGAGAGAGGGAAGAAGGTGTGACTATAGCTTGCCAGCGTTGTGGCTGGAGGACATTTCCAGTTAACACTCCACCCCTTCCTCCGGCCCTGACATTCTTTTGTCAACCTCTTCTGCAAAAGTCCTTGAGCCCTGAGCCTTGGAGGGGGTGGTAGGTGTGGGATGATACCACCCACCCCCTACCCCTCCTTGTGGCAAGGTGCTGAACTTTCGGGTCTCTGCATCATCTGTTTTCCATGGGCTGTTGGCCAGTTTGAGTGGGATTCCATCTACACTATGTGGAGGCCAGATCCATGTGCTCTCAGGTGGTCTGCTGGGTTCTCAGCGGTCTAAACCAGATAGAGACCAGAACAGCCACTCTCAGGCTGTCTGCTAAGGTCTCAGCCTTACCCTACCATAGGGCAGAGGAATCTTATTTTTTATTATTTGGTTGGTTGTTTATTTTAGTGGTACTTGTTAGATTGGGATTGGTCATGTGTGTGACCAATAGGAGCTGACATTTGTTTTCCTAGATACCTCAGTCTCTTAGTTGGGGGTTTTATACAGTTCCTGGGTTGAAAATTAGTTCAAGTCTGTGGTTTACTTAACCCAGTTTGGGGCCCTTTAAGTCCAGACATTTATGCTTTAATACTGAGGATTGAACCTAGGGCATGCTAGGCAAATGCTCTATCAGCATATTCCCAGCAACTCTGTTTTGTTATTGAATATATCATCAAGTAGAGTGCAGTCTGTTTGATGACACGAAATTTTCCATTCCATTTTCCTCCAGTGCCAACACAGGATATACCCAATAAATATTAGTAGAGTAAATGACTGATAGCCTTCCTAATCTTTTTCAGATTAGGTGGTTGAGAGTGCTTTGTCCTAAAGAAAGTGCTTGTAATCCAGGCTTTGGTGGTACAGGCCTAAGCAGAAGGATCACAAGTTCAAAACCGATCTAAGCTACAGAGTAAGATCATGATAGCCATCCTAAGCAACTTAGCAAGATCCTGTCTTAAAGTAAAAACCGCTAGTGGGACTAAAGAGATGGCTCAGCACTGGCTGATTTTGTAGAGGACCTAGGTTTAGTTTTCAGCATCCACATGGTAGCTAACAACTATCTGTAACTCCAATTCCAGGGGATACACTGCCCTCTTCTGACCTCTGTGGGCACTGCATGTATGTGGTGCACTTACATGCAGGCAAAACACTCATATACATTTTTTTTTTGTCTTTTACAGACATATTTTTAAAAAATAAAATTAAAACCAGAGCTAGTGATATAATTCAGTGGTTGTGCACTTGCCTACCATGCTTATGGCCCTATGGTCAATGCCTAGCACCACAAAGAAAAGGAAAGGGGGGGAAATGCACTTCTGACTGTGAAAAGCTGTCTTGAGTAACATAAAATTTCTTACCTTAAAAAGAATCATGAGCAAGGAGTGGTGGTGTATGCCTTTAATCCCAGCACTTGGGAGGCAGAGGCAGGCGGATCTCTGTAAGTTCAAGGCCAGCCTGGAGCCTGGTCTACATAGTGAGTTCCAGGACAGCTGGGGCTACAGGGAGACCCTGTCTCAAAAAGAACAAAAAAAAAAAGCTCAGTTGGAAGACTGGTAATACAGCTCAATGGAAAAGTGCTTGTAAGCACACTGCCCTGAGTTGGATCCCCAAGTACCACAAACAAGGAGAAGAACCTAAAACAACAACCAAAAATCCTTAATTGGGCTGAATGTGTTGTCATACTAGGAACACTCAGGAGACTGAGACAGGATCTTGTTAAAGACCAGTTTGGTAGTCCAGCATTAGAAGAGAAAAGAAAAATGAGGAAAAACCCGATAGAGGGATGCTTCTGGGAGCCCTTGTCAAGAAACTCCAGTGGACTTTCACATGAACATTTGAAAATTGCTCTGTTCTGACTTTTTTCTAGTTCCCTGTCTAGAACTTGTAATGCTAATTACTCTTGGCTTTACTTCTTCACATCTCCCATTCATGATTCAAGGACTTTCTTCTTCCCTTAGAGATAAGAGTTATGCAGTTTTGGAGTCTTTTAGATAGACCCACTGAAGGGGTACTTCAGTTGCCTCACCCTGCATCCCTGTTCAGCATGGAGCATGGAA